GGGAGTGAGTGAGCAGCTGTGTGGTGCTTAGTTGCCAGCTGCAGTTAAACCATAACAGCTACAGAAATCTTGCAATGCTAAGGATTGTCTGGACCCTACACCTTGCCCAAGTATCCATTTTTCTGCAAGCTAGTGATTAAAGCAGACCAGAAGCTGTCTTGCCAAGTCTTCCAGAAGTTTCTCACCATTTGTGTTGCTGCTAGCATCAATGGCAGCATCACACTTGGACTTGCTGTCAGATATTTTGAAACTTAGCACATGAACTTCTCAAAAATAAAAGGTTTGGAAGAATAGGACTGCCACTTTGCTTATGTGAACAGCCCTTATCCTGAGAACTTTCACAGAAGCTCTGTCCCTGTAAGCACTGCAGTTCAAATTTTTCTCTCCTATCTCCTGTAGTAATATAGTTTAAAACCACAAAAGACATGGGAGGGAGGGACAAAACAAAAAAACCCCAAAGCAAATAGAACCTACCTCCAAAATTGAGTTCATATTCATGTTTTCCAGCTTTGAAGTTCAGCTTTGGAGAACCTTTGGCTACATAAGCTTTCTCCAAGTCATCACTAGAAACAGTGGCAGCTACATGATCATCATCCTGTCAGGACAAAACCAGAGGAAAAAAAAAAGATTCTCCTGGTCTGTTATATACAAGCAATTTTAAAAACAAAGAACTGCCATATGGTATGGTGGCTGCAGTATTGTCAGCCTTTGTGCATGACAGTGGCTTTCAGGCAAAAGCCACATATTAAGCAGTTGAAACTGCCCCTAAAACAAACCAAGGAGTGTTATGAAGCCTAAACTTACATTGCAAAGTGCATGTGGTCAATGCTACTACTAAGACAGCACATTCACCATCTAGAACTTAGCAAAGATGCACAGAGTACTACTGGAACCTCAGAAAAGGAAGTTTTAGCCAGGAGCAATGAAAAGACTGTATTAATGTGATCCTATCTGACATGACTCACTGAAGAATTATCTGTCAGTAATATTTGTGACTCACCAGTGAGCACTCCCCTACCTGAACCAATCAAATTCACAGGAAAAAAATATTCCACTAGGCCTCTAAAGTCCATCTGTACAGTATGGGTGAGAGGGAGGGGGTGACAGAAGAGGGGGAGTACTGTGTACTTTTCAGTAGTTCTGCACTTTTCACACAGAGTTGAGAGCCTTCCCATTTCTCCACACTTACTTTTTTTCCATACTCCTGCCACAGGCCATATTCATCTTTCCAGTACCAGATCCATTCTGTTGTAAGAATGAAGTGAGGGGGTTTGGTCACAGAAGAGGCTGTAGAAAGACGTCTAACCTTTGCAAACCCACAGCACATATTCAGAAAACAAATACACGACAAGACAGAGCCACTTTCAGTAACACCATTATTAAATCTAAAAAAAAAAAAAGAGAGAAAAAAATCAGAACTGTTTGTGAAGCTTTTCACATAGGTTCAGAAGCCCACCACAAATTTGCAAATTAAGTCAACATCACTCAAAAGCAGAACACAAACCTGCAGCTTCCACAACAATCCCAGCTGTGTCTTGCATTTGTACATATTATGCATTATAGTATTACATCTCACGTTATTTCCATGCGCAGTAACCATTATCAACTCATAAATACATAAGATGAGCAGAAACAGTGGAAAATGTACACTGCCTTCTTCTTGCTAACCAACTATATTCTGAACAGAACACTGTCATAACTTAAGCACAGCGTCACAGAGCCTCTAACGTAACATAAGACGGCTAGGTAAATTCTCCAGCGTGGGACACAGCATACTGGTATGAGCCCCTTCCAATACCCTCTTCGTGCTACATAACCAGTTCCAAACTCTTAAAGGTATTTCCACATTCTTCATGGTTCTCTGCACCCAAGAGTATCTCTCTCTCTAGGCACACAAGGTATTCCACCAGTTCCGCTGTATGGACCGGGAGAAAAGGGGGCGGGAGGGGCAGATCTCATGCTACCTTTCCATCCTCCATCTCAAAAGGTGAAAGAGGATGTTACTTCTAATCATGGGGTCAAGCTGTGTATTGACAAGCTCTAACCAAAGACAGATTCCCACAAGTACTTGTGATAAAAATCACCATTCTCTGCAGTTTTCCAGCCATTCACAGCAAGGATTAAGACTTCCTATGGTAGCAGCAGTAGAAAGTATTTGTACATTTTTTCACAGCAAAGAATGCTAGAGTCTACGGGTCAGTCACATAAAATAACTGTGGTGGGTTGACCCTGGCCAGCAACCAAGTACCCACACAGCTGTTCGCTCACTCCCCCTCCCCTCCTCTGCATGACAGAGGGTAGAAAATAGGAAGGGCAAAAGTGAGAAAAGTTATGGGTCAATATAAAGGCAGTTCAATAGGTGAAGAAGGGGGGTGGTGGTGTAAATAAACAAACAAACAAACAAATAAATAAAGCAAAGCAATTTGCCCACCACCTCCCATGGGCAATCTAATGCCCAGCCAGCCTCCAAACAGCTGCCACCTCGGAAACCAAATACCCCCAACCTGAGGTTTTATTGCTGAGCATGATGTTATATGGTATGGGAGATCCCTTTGGTCAGTTCAGGTCAACTGTCCCAGTTGATCCTCTCCCAATCCCTTGCCCACCCCCAGCCTACCCGCTGTGGACAAGTAGGTAAAAAAAGAAAGCCTTGACTCTGGGCAAGCACTGCTCAGCAACAACTAAAACACTGGCGCATTATCAGCACAGTTTGAGTCACAGATCCAGAACACAGCACTCTACAGGCTACTATGAAGAAAGTTAACTCCATCCCAGTCACACCCAGTACGGTAACCCAGAGGGTCCTATACAGGCTCCACGCATAAGTCACAATGGATCAGATCTCCAGCAACAGTAGATCAGCAAAGTGAGGTCAGTAGAAGAATACCCAATGAAGCTACTTATGTAATGACTGCAAGAGAATCGTAGCAATTCATAGCCACTATGGGCCTAGTCCAATATAGCAAACTCCAAACATTATTAAATTTTATAAGAGTTTGTACCTGGCATTATTGGGGTCACAATATGCTTTTTCTATTTCTTCCATATTCTTCAAGTCCTTCCAGGTATCACCATCAGAGACCTGCCATCTATATGGCAAGTGAAAATGAGTTCTGATACAGTTGTCTATAAAGTTTAAAGAAAAAAAAAAAAAAAGTAAGGGATGCATTATTTTTACAGGCTATGAGAAAAACTCCAACATGTCAGGGCTGCACACCTAGCTGGTGAAAGTATCAAATGCATAGCTACAGAAACTGTTCACCTATAGGATCGCTACAAGCAATAGTTCAGAATTTTTCAGTGAGAAAGCAAAACTTAATTTTTGAGCTTAGGCAGAAGTTCAGTTTCTGTACCTACTAGATTTGCTTTGTGCGTCAAAACTGCTAGCAGGAGCTCAGTGGTGAAGGACCATTCTGTCTTCTCAGTCTCAGAGACAAAAAATTACAATGAATCGAGATCACAAGCTCACACAAGGCTATTTCATATCTAGAATAACAGTGTAGACTCAAATATCTACGCTTAACCACTTAGTCCCAAAGTGGTATTACTGAGGAAAAAACAAAGCAAAAAACCCCAGCGCTTTGTTTTAGGACAGGAGGTAGCTCATTTAGTGACTTCAAGAAGTCCTTAAGGGTCCAGGCCTCACCAGGAACAAGAGTAGTGGTAGCAGGGGTCCAGGTATCACAAGTGTTACTCAGAAATCATTCAAAGAGTCAGTATGCAGTCACTCCTCAATAGGAGTGAAGATCACACCACCAGCACACATATGGATAAACTTGAGGCTAGCTTTCGTAGTAGAACAACAGGCAACTTAACTACAGGAAAAGTCAAGCAGACTGCACCACACAGTTCATGTGAGAAGGTGTGCAGTATGTCAGGGAGCTACTACGGGTCAAGAACATAAAGAAGGAAAAGGATGACAAAAGGACAAGAAGAAAGCTGGCACAACAGCCTTTTTCCTGGACAAGTTAGGAGATTTTGAAAGGGAGACAGCTCAGACAGATGGAACAGAAGAGTGGTAGAAGAAACAAGGAAGAATGTAGAATTCAGAGTTATCTTTTGTAGCTATTTGGAAATGGGACTCCTATCATTCAGCAATCCCTTAGGTGAACACAGGTGGAGTAGCCAATCTCCAACACAGGTGGATATTATAAATTTCAGAGTAAAACAAAACAGCTCCTTTGTTTGGTATACCAGGTAGGTCAAATGCTTTCCTACCAGCACTCAAGATTACAATGAGATTTAACTAAAGATAAGCATAAGCTCTGAAGTCTCCCCTTTCTCTGACAGACGTCTATCACTCCACAAGAAAATAGACTGGACCTGCTACAGTCACAACCTACCTTTAAAGCCACATCTTCTGTACAGATGATATAAACAGATCTGTTCCAATTCAACATCATTTGTAGTTGAGGACTCCCGGCTAGAGCTATGTTTTCTCTCTAGAGGGAGGAATTATAAGCCTTATTAATACACTTTGTTTCAACAAGCCCTCTTAAAAGTGCACCTATGGGTAGGGAAGATACTTAAAAACAGTGTTTATAACTACATAACTGCATTCAGCTCCAGAAAGACACCGAAGTCTTTGATAACCTTGTATACTTGAAAGTTCTATCCCTTTATCCATCCTTTCTGAACTTGACTTTCCTGTAACAGCTAAAAACTGTATCTGAAGAATTTAGCAATCACCGCAAAGTAAGAATAGAATCCAATGCTGTTACATTTCTAGATGGACTTGAGTTAACCGTGCATTCCACATAGCTGTTCACATTGGCAGCTATAAAATCTGAAGCCTCAGAATTTGATACTTCTGTAAATTAAAGCACAGCTAAGGAAACAAAGAAGGCAAGTAGGAACTGTGGGGAGAATAGCAGAGATGCACACACACACACACACAGATTTTCCATCCCGTTATCCTTTTCTTTCCTGGTAAATTATACTTAACTTAGAATTCTAAGGAACTTCAAAAGAAAAGAACAAACAAAATATTACATCTCTGATAAGGAACTAGGATAGTGCTATGAATTCTCGTGTTAGACAATTGCTACATTAAAGAAAAAAATGGATAAAATAGTTTATAACCACACAAGTAAATGCCAGGCCTATTCTTAAACAGTTCTCTACCCTTGTTTATGTTTTTTACCAAGCAAAAAATTACAGATCTCCCTATTTCCAGTTCCTGTTATGCTTTTCTAACCCCAAATTTAAGACTTTTATAAACACCAAGTACTTTATTTCTCAGGAACCCATAATGCCTTGAAATGCACTTCACTTGTCAAGACACACATCTCTGTCAATGAGATAGGTGCAAGGTCCCTCATAAAAGACACATCAAGACGTGAATTCAGTTTTCTTTTTCTTAATGACATTTGTGAGAATGTTAACATGCACTATAGTAAGTCGTCTTCTGATGTTTTCAAAAAATGATATCATTTACCTTTGCATGGCGAAGACTTGGCATCTTCTGTGTCATACACGTTCTCATTGCCATTTTGTATGTCATACATATTCCTATAAATGGAGGGTAGTTTCTCAACAATGTCTGAGCTCATTCCCTGTCTCTCCAGTTTCTCATAACATTCTGACTTCAGTAAGTCATGGGATCGCTTGCAGCTGCTGCCATATTTGCACTGTCCCCGCAAAAAGTACTGGCAAACATGCAGTTTGGTGCAGATCTTTTTATAGGTACAAGATCCATAAGGTCCATCACCTTTATTATAATGCAAGCAGACCTTGAGTAGAGGGGAAAAAAAAAGAATTTAACGTACAATGTGCTCATACAGACTGTTTGTTTGAATTCATGGTTTTTAAATTTTTACAGCTATGTGTTTACATTTGCATTTAAAAGACTTATACAAGTTTCTTCTTTCTTCTTGTTTTTTGATAGTTTTTCCTTTTCCCTGCTAATGTCTAGGAAAATCTTTCAACAGACAACAACTATCTTACAGACATTCTCAAGCAGATGGGATTTTGTTCTAAGTCACATAAATGTAGGATAGTGGATTTTATTGTGTCACTACCGGAACTCTTTGGTTTTCTAGTTTTGGAACAGTGAACTTTTTTGACCTGAATTTAATGGTAACAGGTACTGGATCTGGCTGGGATGGAGTTAACTTTCTTCACAGCAGACCATACCCCACTAGGTTTTGGATTTGTGACCAAAACAGTGTTGATAACACAACGTTTCAGCTACTGCTGAGCAGTGCTTGCACAGTGTCCAAGCTTTCTCTTTTTCTCCACTCTGGGTAGGCTGGGGGTGGGCAAGAAGCTGACAGAGGACACAGGTAGCCCAAACTGGCCATAGGGATATTCCATGCCATATAATGTCATGCTCTAAAATTAAAAAAAAGGAAAAGGAGGGGTGGGGGAGATGGGTCCTTTTTAGAAGGTTGCTCTCACTCAGAGACTTGCTGGGCATGGGTCTGCTTGTGGGGAGGTGGTGACTAACTTCCTTTGGAACACTTGTTTCTCCCCTCTTTCCTCTACTTGCGAAACTGTCTTTATCTCCATCCACAAGTTTTGTCACTTTCGTTCTTGTTTTCTCTCACCTATCCTGCTGGGGGCAGGGGAGAGAGGAGTGAGTGAGGGGCTGTGAGAGTGCTTAGCTGCCAGCTGGGATCAACCCACCACAGACAAGAGGAGAAGATGCAGATTTAAAGTTTTAGATTTGCATTATGCTAACTAAACTGACATCTAACACCTCCAGCCAGTATCAAGCCTCTTCTACTTTGTGATGCTCACTGAAACACGAGGTTAAGAAACTGTCACAGTACTACCCACCTCTGGTAAGAGGGAAGGGTCATTTTGAAGCAGAAGCTGACGAAGTTCGTCACTGTTTAAATTCTCAAGTCCGTATTGTTTTAGAACGCAGAGATTGTGGTCTGAGTGGAAGCTGTGAGCAAACTTGCATCCCTTCCTACAAGTTAAGAAACCCAAGTGCAAAGTGAGCATAACAGACCAGCACTATTTTGCTATCACATTGGTGTTAAACAGTTTAAAAAGCACACCAAATTAGCTAGTTTCAGAAAAAAATCTGTAGTGCTCCTTTATAAAGTAATTATGTGATTTGCTAAGCAGATTACACAATTACTCTGAGGGTAAGTGCCACGCTACTTCTGATTCAGTCATTATAGCACTAGTACAGTCTGACAACATTGGCATGTTTGACCTGCAGCTCACAACCACGCGTGAGAAAACACCAAAACGCCAGAGTACCGCTCCCTCCCACTAGAATCAATACGCACATTCCACAACTTCACGCAGCACGAAGTGCCCAGACTTGCTGCACGCAAAGCCCGCTTTCACCCCCGCAGGGGCCCTACGGGGAGGGGGGGGAAGCGCCAGAAGCAGGGTGGCGAGCTGGGGCGGAAGTGGTGTAACCCAAAGTCTGTGAAACAAGCGCCCGCGTCTCCCTCCTTTGTAAACAAAAACGTGGAAAAGGAGCATTTCCAGCACGGAGAAAGAGCAGCCAGGCCTTCACTGCAGCCTCCTCCCACTGA